TTTGATACTCCCCGGATGCAGAATGGAACGTTTTTTGCCACTTGTATCAGGTTCGCTACTGTACACTAACTTGAAAAAAGAAACACTCAAACTTTTGAATGTAAAATACGTTCATTACAAAGCCAAATCATCGCATTTGGTATTGCATTTATTAAATAAAGCCCCACTACACATACTGTTCATCAATGGGAGCCGAAAAAATTAATTTAATAGATCTTTTGATGGCCTCAAATTCGACACCCCAAAACATGACGTTTGCGAAAAAATCACTTTTTTCTTTAGCCTAAACAGCAATGCAATGCCGTACACTAGACGATAAATAACTTGCAATCAAAATTTTACAACATTTTGTGCCGAGATGTACAGTGAGACACCTGATCCAGTTGCAAAAAAAGTATCACTTTCCTACGGGAGGTATCAAAAATGTGGCAAAATGCCTCCCTCTTTAACTGAAAAAATTCCGGTTTGAACTGCCCGCCCTTTCCCTTACAAAAAATATGGCAAAATACCTCCCTCTTCAACTATAAAAAGTTCGTTTTAAAGGGATCCCTTGCAAAAAGAGGGGCGCGCTTTTGAAACCGGAGTTTTCTCACTTGGAGTGGGAGGTATTTTGCTGCGTTTTTGATACTTCCCGGGTACAGAATGGTGCGTTTTTTGGGCAATGAATCAGGTCCGCCACTGTAATTTTACGGCATCCTTTTGACATTCAAGTCCAGGTTTATTAACTTGGAATTGTCCTCGAAAAATCTCGCTAAAAATCTGCGAATCTACGGCTATCGCGTTGCAGGTGTGGTCGAGATATTCAACATATTCAACGACCTTTGTATACGAACACGCCAAATGGAAGAGCGGGTTGTTACAAAAAAGCTGTGTTTTCGCCATGCCCCAATACTTCCCGGGGATTTCTAACCCCTTAAATTTGCTCTATTTATCATAAATTCCCTTCCCTTTTCCCTACTCTCTCATATTTCTCCCCGAAATTTCCCTATGGGCGTTCCTGAATTCCCCACAAATTCGCGATCCCATCAAGAGCGCAGATACTGACACGTTTACACCGCTTTCTGCTTGTGACTTGTGTGAAGCCTTGGAGTCAACTGACCCTCAAACTTGGTTGTCAAAAACCCTGCAAAACCCGTGAATTATGACGTCATTCGGCGAGTTGAAGCGTTGGAACAAATTTGATTATAAGCGAGAAAGATAAGATAATAGATCGCTGATCGGGACGGGCAAACAAGTAAGCATTTTTGTGTCGAAACCCATAGATTTGAGGAGTTAAATTTGTCCTGATAGAGAGACGCTGTGATCCCTTCAAAACGCGAAACCTCCAACATGGATAAGTGGCCGGCGCTGAATACGCACACAAAATCTTAAGAAAGTTGGAGTGTCCCACCTGAAAGGACTTGTAAGATAATCCGAAGATTGTGCAGACTTGTTTTGACTAGACTACAGGCACGAACGGATTTCCTGTTTTGTTTTCTGCCACTTATTATGCGCTATGTGCAACTGTTTGTTTATACCGTACTTATCAGCTGAAAGGTGACTTAATTGACACTCAGATTTTGATAAAACTTGGTGCAGATCTAGACAAACTTTCGCTAAGAGATGTACTAAACTCCTAGCTCGCGCTTTGCAGAAACGACCGTGATTTTTCGGTCGAAAATCGGCAAAAAGTTGACAGTTTTTTTGCAAATTTTGGCTTGAAAAGTTTTATACCTACATATTGCTGCTGTGGACAGTAATGTCTCCTCAAAAAAACATTTTTCTGCACAAAACTGGCAAAACCAAAGAGAGTTTTTCTCTGACCACACTCCGCGTTTCGTGTACTCTCTCGGCCGCAAAGATCGTTGAATATCTCGGAGGCCCCTTCAAGACGCGAGCTTAAACTTTCAGGAATCGATACTTAGTTCATGACCGATTTGCGCGCAAATTTTAAAAAAGTCTGAGCATCGCACTTGGGGTACTTCCCTTGTAAGCTTATTTTTGAAAATCGCAGAGTCTCTGATTTCTTGAGTCTTATCAGCATAGCCAAAAAAGTGTTTTTCCCTGTGACCTGTCTCCGTGTCTGACGTACACTCTCGGCAGCGAAGATCGCTAAATCTCTCCGCGGCACCTGCAGAACGCGAGCTAAATTTTTTACTGTGTCATATAAAGGTGGTCACATAAGAATTAAAAGTTTTGTTTTCTCAAATCGCGATTTTCGGTGCACAAAAAAGTCGACGCCCAAATCGAAAAATTGGCGTCGACTTAATTTTTTCAGCGCCGAATTCCGAAATGCGGTGCTGACTTAAGAACTTAAGTCTTCGGTGCAGACTTAAGACTTTATGCACTGATTTCGAAAAACTGCACGCAAAATTTAAAAAAAAAATCTGAGCGTCGCACTGCAGGATGAGCCAAGTCTTTCTCCTTGGATGGTCAACTCTTCCTCTCAAAATTCTTTTTTGTCAAGATTAATATGAATTTCTTTATGTTTCAATCTACATACATCGACAGGACAATAACTCCAAAAGTAAGTTAAATTACCCCTCTTTCTATATATGCAACGATTTTTTGCATTACATAAGTTTATCCTTGTGCATTTAGCCATTGTTGTAGGTATACAAATTTAGCTGAATTCTGTTTGTTCTTGCGATTCCATGAACGAAATTTGAAAGTCTTCCCCACAAAAGAACCGGTGTCGAGCCTTCTTGGTGCCAGAATTGTTTCAGCATGAAAGGACTTACAGTTTTTTTGTTGATTCGATTTTCGATATTACACTAGGTACTTTTGTAAGTTTAAGGCCAGATTAGGTCACGTTTTACGTCATGTAAGGTCTAAATGGCCAATAAAACTTTATTTTAGCACATAACGTCGTAACAGTGATTTCCCCCCTTTTATTGTCGTTTTTGATTTTTTTTCAGATTTTAGGTATGGAACAATTTTGATGTATCCGCGGCCATAGATGCGTATTAATACTTCGCAAACCATATTTAAAAGGTCCCTGGTCGATCTAAAAAATGTTTAGAACAAAATGAGAGGTATTTGAGACTTTTTTAGATCCACGTTGTACTGGATCACTTAGACCCTAAGACATCTCAAACCCGGGTTTGAAAGAATATTTATGTTGGGGACGGTTTAGTAATGGCTCAGCTTTGTAGTTTTCCGGGTTTAAACTTCAAAAACATTATATTTTGCCTGCAACTTGATAAAAGTACCTAGTGTAATATCGAAAATCGAATCAACAAAAAAACTGTAAGTCCTTTCATGCTGAAACAATTCCGGCTCCAAGAAGGCTCGACGCCGGTTCTTTTGTGGGGAGACTCTCAAATTTCGTTCATGGAATCGCAAGAACGAACCGCATTCAGCTAAATTTATATACCTACTACAATGTCTAAATACGCAAGGATAAACTTATGTAATGCAAAAAAATGTTGCAGAGTCAGAAAGAGGGATAATTTAGCTTACTTATGGGGTTATTGTCCTGTCGAAATATGCAGATTAAAACACAACAAAGTTTATATTAATCTTGACAAAAAAGAATTTTGAGAGGAAGAGTTGACCATTCAAGGAGAAAGACTTGGCTCATCCTGCAGTGCGTCGCACTTGGGACATCTTCCTTGACAATCCGAGCAATCTCAATTTTCATCCGATTGATCAAAAGAAATGTTTTGATTCAAAAAAGAAAGACTGTTTGCCTTGGAAAAACAAACGTAGGGAAACGCAGCAATTCGCACTAGAGCCGTAAACAAAAAAAGATTCGGCCATGAAATCCTATTTTGGCAAGTGCTCTACAATAAAATCGCCCGTAATGACGGGCTTAACAGAGTGGGAAAAATAAAAAAATAAATTGAAAAACAATCGAAAAAGGAGATGAAAAAATTGAACTTTTGGCCTTTTATACGATACAATAAATCAGGGTAAAGAAAACTAACGTTAGGAATAGCTAAAATTGGAAAAAGTGAACATATTGCAAAAATCGTTGAATATCTCCGTCAAGCTTGGAAATAGTGAGCTAAAATTTTTAGGGATTGGTATATGACCTAGACAGATCATGCATGCAAACTTTGAATGAATTTGGACGCCTACTCTTTGAGTGCTGACCTTATTTTACATTGTAGATTAGACCAAAAAATTTCGAAAAAATAAATTCAAAAAAAAATTTCAAGTACAGTATTAAGTCAAAAAACATGACCAAACTCCTACGATGACGATGACCGCATGTTTCCTTCAAACGAAACAATTGGAAATCCCCTGAGGGGATTCGCAAAAAGCAATTGAAGTGCAAACAGATGACCAATGATTAATGGAAACATCCTTAATATTCATTGCTCCCACGCAGTCACGTAGCAAGTAAACGATTTACAGCAGAAATTCGGCAGTTATCACATATTATACGAAAATTTCAAATCTGACTTCAATTTTTCGTGTTCAGATGGTTTTTAATGGCCTCAAAGTACCACCAAAATTTACTGTTTGTCGGGAAAACTGTTTCGACGTCAATTATAGCGGAAAAAGAGAAATTGTATCTAATTTCGTCAAATGAGCCATCCGTTTATTTGAAATGCAATTTAAACCTCGAAATTGTGTGGAAATTATGGCGAAAAGATAAATTCCGGATCCTCAGATATATAGGATTACAGGTCAATTCAAATTTTTACATTTTTTTGTATCCCGGAATTTCCATTTTGTCCCAACACGAAAACATTGAATGCCAAAATGTTGGCATTCCGCAACAGCCAGAGTTTTTATGGAAAATATTTTTTATTCCCGATCCCTTTCAAGTTTTTAGGGACAGCGCGTGGAATAACAGTAGTTTTGAATATAAAAATATTTTTTTTGGATTTCATCTTTGACCTTTTGCCTAGTGTAATATAATATCCTCCCCTATTTTTTTGATCAAAAAAAAATGTTTTGTCAATGAATTTTGGGTCTAATAAGGTCCCCATAGCTCTACCGTACTGTGACACGTGTGTGGTTGTGTACGTGACAAACTAAAAAATATTCAGCATTTTTTTTTTTTAGGTATGGATTCGATAAACCGCGGGAAGGTCACCGGTGTGGTAGCGCCCTTCAAAGAGGCCGAACCAGAATGCCATATGGAACAACCCAAACTCCTTGATGCCAATGATTTTCTGGTAAAAAACGTGAGTTCTCATTCAATTCCATTTTTCGGATTTTAGGCAACAGATCTATAAAATAATATGTTTTGCCCGAAAAAACGTCTAGTCCATGCGGCAAAAAAAGATAATAGAGAAAAAAGTTGATGTGCTCTCTGAGCACATGCAAATGATGGCCTCGAAAACAACGTGTTCGACCGTGTTTGAATCAACTTTTTCTCATGGCCGTCGCTCCCCGCGAAAATATGTAAATTAGGTAAAAAAACGGGGGAAAGAACATAAAAGTGCACAGAGTGGCCATCTGATTCTTGTACATGTCTAGATTTTCCTTTGTTCCCATGAAGAGCTTGTCAAAACATCGAAGAACTCACTGAAATTATATTATTTTAGGCACCTCCGACCATCAGATACATTCCGAACTTTATTACCGAAAATGAGGAACAGATGCTGTTGAATCGTGTGTACACGGCGCCCAAGCCCAAATGGGAGTATTTGAAGGATCGGCGGCTGCAGAATTGGGGCGGATTAGTCGGGAAGAGCGGGCTGATAAGTGACGGCAATATCCCCCAGGTAAATTCGTATTTTTTGATGGAAACTTGTTTCTTTTTTGATTTTTAGTGGCTCCAGTCGTTGATAGACAAGATTATGAGTGTGAAAAATGGTTTTCCCGAAGGCAATCGACCAAATCATGTGTTAATTAATGAGTATTTATCTGGACAAGGGATTATGGTAGGTGTAATGTCAAAAGCATCGAAAAGTTGTAAAATATATATGGTAAATGGAGCGAAATTATTTTTATTGAGGAGTGAAGAGCATAGTAGTCGTATTTTCAGCCGCATACAGATGGTCCAGCATTCTTTCCATTAGTTTCGACCGTATCTTTGGGGTCCTCCACCTTCTTGGATTTTTATACTCCTTTAGAGCCGGTAAGTCAATTTTTTATTTGTTTGTTGAATTTTAGGACCTATAATGCAGCTCATCGTCTGTTCATTTAATCTCAGACTTTTAAAATTTCTGTCAGCATAATTTTTCACCTTATTTTAGGGATCAGAAAACCCAGCGCCAATTTCCGACCGTTTCGTTGGCAGCATGCTGCTCCAGCCCCGGAGTCTAGTCCTAATCAACTCCCAAGCCTATTCGGCGCATCTTCATGGGATCGCGGACCGGCCCGCCGATCCAGTGCATGATCGAATTTTTAATCGCCCGCCCGGTCTAGTCCAAAACGAGAGCCTCCCGCGCCAAACCCGCATCTCCCTGACCATTCGAAATGTCCCCAGTGTAAAGAAGAACAGCATCTTGCAGATGCTGCAAAAGCGCTGAGCGCAAAAATGGATAACCAGTATTTTCTAACCGGTAATTGTCATTTATTCGGCAATTTGCCCAAAATTGTTGCTTTAGATTGTTATGTTGTTTGTTGTTAGCAATGAAATTGTTAAGTTGAGGTCTTGGAGCACTTCTTCGAAGATTTTGAGCTCCTCTCCGAGGTTGTAACGACCGATTCGGGGTCTTCGGTCGATTCGGACACCTGAACAGGCGGCTTTTGATTGTTGCAACAGCACATTAACATGCACACAAAGAACGAAATGGCAATTATGGCTCTGAAATGAGATAAAATATGATTTGTGAGAGAAAAATTAACGAGCCGAAAAAATGTTTAAAAAAAATTTTTCGGCCACTGGGAAATAACAAAAAAAAAACTTTTAAAATTGTGTTTTTGGGTTTCTCAAGGACCCTATTTTTTGAGATATTTTTTAACCGAAAAGCCTTCAGGCCATCTTCAAAGATCACTTTAATAAATTTCGTTCGCATCTAATCACAAAAATTTGCTGTTTTTTGACAAAAAATCGATGCGCCATGCTCAGGTTTTCTTCAAATTCACCATGCAAGGTTGAACTGGCCCACATACCAATCTATAAAAATTTCAGCTCTCAATCTCTTGAAGCCGCTGAGATATTCAATTCTCTTTGCAAACGAGAGATTGTAAAAGACGAGGAGATTGTCAGAGACGATTATTTTTGTCTGACGCTCTCCTCATTTTTAACAATCCCTCGTTTGCAAAGAGAATTGAATATCTCAGCGGCTTCATGAGATTGAGAGCTGAAATTTCTGTAGATTGGTATGTGGGCCTGTTTAACTTTGCATGATGAATTTGAAGAAAATTTGAGCATTGAGCGTCGATTTTTAGTCAAAAAACGGAAAATTTTTGTGATTAGATGCGAACGAAATTTATTAAAGTGATCTTTGAAGATGGCCTGAAGGCTTTTCGGTAAAAAATAATATCCCAAAAAATAGGGTCCTACCCAAAAATACAATTTTAAAATGGGCTGTAGACACCACCATAAAGTCGTGTCTACAGATTGCCAGAGGCCTTCAAAAACCTCAAAAAAGTCCAATTGAATTGTAAACTTACACCCCCGTCAAAATAAGGCACACGATCAGCATCCGGTAATTATCCGATTCTTGAGCCGCAAAAATCCCAATTGGCTGAAAATACATACAATTTAGATCTCAAATCAAACGATTTGTACGCCAAAATAAGGTAAAGCCTCACCACGGAGATGATGGTCTTGCAGGCCGGAAATCGGACGCGGATATCGAAATCGAAAACTTGTTTTTCAACCAATTGGAAGTTATGGCTCAAGGTGAAGTTCTCTCTGGCCATGATCGTCACCGAAGTGTCGCGGAGGATAACCCCAATGTGATTTCCCATAATTATGTGGCGCCCGAATTCTGAAAATTATTTTTTTGTTTTTTTTTGGTAAAAGTTCCTTATTTTGGCCTTAAATTATAACTTTGCGGAAGCTGGTCGGAATTAGCCCAAATTTAGCGCGTACACGCTCAATTCATCGTTATCAATGCCCGGACAGTGGATTTAGTTAGTGAGGTATCTTCTTTTTTACGTACCATCTTACCCCTAAAAAACGGCCTGCAGCCTGTGATTTTACACTTTATACGATGAAACATGTCCGGAACTAAACTTATTGCCTCCGTATGGAACTAAATGAGTCGTCACAGCCTTCGTAGGTACCCTTAAAACTATAGAGCTCTTGGCAAAATGCTTCCCTAAAAAAACCGGCCTAAATTTCAAAAAAATCGTTTTTTCTGCCAAAAATTCACTAAAATAATATCCGATTTCCCTAAAACGGGCTTTAAAAAATGTCCAATCTTCTTCAAGATAACCTTTTTACAATCTCCAATTACAGTGAAGGATCCAGTGGCAAAAAACGTGCCATTTTGCATCCGGGAAGTATCAAAAATGTGGCAAAATGCTTCCCTCTCCAAGTGAAAAAACTTCGTTTCGAAGGGCTCCCTCACAAAAAGAGCGGGCGCGCTTTTGAAACCGGAGGTTTTTTACTTGGAGAGGGAGGTATTTTGCCACATTTTTGATACCTCCCGGATCCAAAATGTTACGTTTTTTGCCACTGGATCAGGTCCGTCACTGTAGGCCATGTAACAAAAAAAAATTCTTTACAAAATGGTAGGTGTTAAAAAAAAATTTTTTTGACATTTTTGAAATTTTTTAAAATTGGCTAAAAAAATATAAAAAATAAATTTTTTATTTCAATTTTACTTTGTTTCTTACCATTTTCCAACTCCCACATATGATGATTCACCCTCGCCATTTTGAAGAGGATCTGATCGCGAATTCGGACTTGAATTGTCTGCCCAAGTCTGAAAACGATCAAAATTTGGCCATAATTTCAACACCCAAATTTCCTCACCTCCTCGGGCATTCCTCTTCGCTGGCGTCCAAGGTGAACATGATTGGCTCCTTCGTCCCAGCATCGTGTCTTTTGACCATGAAATTGTTGTGCACACATCTGAATTCGCCCACCACCTGGCCCCACAACTCCTTCACCCGCCAATCGAGGCCGCATGGAATCAGCAGAGTGGACGAGCTGGCCGTCCAGAATGTTAGGCAAAGAATGAGAATGCGGTGCATTGGCGGCGACAGCAGCGAGCAAAAAATCGGCCGCAAACGAAGGAGTCGGCCGAAATACAAGTGATTTTTCTTGGAACATACCAAAAAATTTTTTTGATCTTTAGAGAAAATCAAATTTTATGCAAATTTAAACGATTTTTTTTAAATAATTTTGATTTTTTTTTTCAATTTTTTGATGACTAAAACAACGTTTAAACATTACATACTGCAAATTAAGCTTAAATAGTTCATTTATGCTGCATAAAAATCTCATCAAAACGTCTATCTTGCTCTCAGTTACTTTTTCTTTCCCAAAATTTCAATTACCTCATTCATCGTATAAAATGTCTCTCTGCAATTTTTTCGTTGAGACTTTATAGAACCGCTTGACCTCATCTTGTAAAAAATTACGTAACAAAGTTGATCGGTGCACAGATAACGTTGAAGGAATCACTTTTCAACGACTGTCAACGCTTTTGTCGTTGAAAGATTTTTTCATTTCAAAAGGTTTTCCCAATTCTCTTCATGTGAACGCTTTCCTTTTCAACTTTTGTCTGCAAAAAAGTTGCGATTGATAAAAGTTTAACGTAGTAATGTCTCAACGGCTTTTTCAGCGCTCTTGCAAAGCGAGAACTCTGGACTTTCGGAGATGATTTTTTGCTGGGTTAATAGAAGTAAATAGTATTAGGTCGTCCAGAAAGTTCGTGCGTTTTTTGCATTGCTTTGTTTTAAAAGGATTATTTGTTTCTTGGCAAAATGTAAATATGTATTTGATATAGCTTTTTCTCCTCTACAAAACTGTGTATTTACAGGGGAAGTACTCCAAGTGCGACGCTCAGATTTTCTTTAAATTTTGCACACACATCGGGTATGGACTAAATATCAATTCCTGAAAGTTTTAGCCCGCGCTTTGCGGACGCCGCCGAGATATCGACCAATCTTTGCCGCCGAGAGAGCACGCTAAACGTGGAGGGCGGTCAGAGAGAAAAGGGCTTTTTGGCCATAACTTTGGCAGTTTCGTGCGGAAAAATTAGACTTTTTGTAGAAACATTATCCTTTACGGTAGAAATAGGCATGAAACTTTTTGAGCCGAAATTCGGCAAAAATTCCTGAATTTTCGCCGACTTTTGATCTCAAAATCTCGGTTGTTTCTGCAAAGCGCGAGCTAGGATTCTCGCATATATCTTAGAAAAAATTATTCTATATCAGTCTGTCGGAAAAATAACGGCGGATCGTCGCGCCTCGGAATCGCCCATCATCGCTTTGCGACTGCAAGCCGCGGTTGGGGATTTGGTGCGCGACAGCGGCGAGGCGAGACATTTTGCTGCGACGATCCGCCGTTATTTTTCCGACAGACTGATATTTGTGCCAAGTTTCATCAAAATCTGAGCGTCGCACTTGCAGTTCCCCTGTTAGAAAAAACTGTTTTGCAACTTTCTTCTGTGTTCTTGCTGGATACAGAAGAACCTCCTATTCAGGCGTCGATTTCAACTGTAGGTAGTAATGTTTTCACAAAAAATAATTTTTTCTACACACGACAGGCAAAGATACGATCAAAAAGTTTTTTCTCTGACCGCCCTCCGCATTTTTCATGCTTACTCGTAGACAGTTTAAAATCTCGGCTCTCCCCAAAGCTTGTGAGCTAAAATTTTCAGGAATCAAAGTGTGTATAGCCTAAATTCTTCAGTCAAAATTTCAAAAGAATCTGAGCTTCTCCGTTTGCACACCACATTTTAAAAGTTTTTGATGACTAAAACATGTATAATATAATTTAAAGACGATTTTTTACTTTTTTCTGCCCTTTCTGTCTATCGCAAGATTTCGTAACTTTTATATGTCCTCTCAAGGTAAATTCCATTGTAATCTGTTGGTGCGATCACGAAAAACAACTATATTTTTGTTATCTAATCAGTGACCTTTGTCTCCGGCGTTTCTTTTTCGTGGGGTTTTCCCAAGAAATAAATGATTTTTTTGCGATTTTTAGGAGAGTAAATTTGTTTCTACACCTCGACAATCATGGCTGATAAAGAATTCGGTAAGGAAAATTGCATTTTTTTAACATTTCAAAACTTTCAAAACTTGAAATGTTTTGAAAACTATTAAAAAAAATTTCAGCGCTGCTCTCCGTCTCGGATAAGACTGGCTTGGTTGAGTTGGCTCAAGTCCTCCAAGCCGCAAATCTCCAACTGGTCGCCTCGGGCGGGACTGCCAAACTTTTGAGAGAAAATGGGCTGGATGTGAAGTAAGTGGAGGCGTTTGTAAAGATCATTCGTGATCTCAAAATTGAACAGCCAGATTTGCTTCAAATTTTCAACGTATTCACTGTCTAGTCTACGCATAAATTGCTGCAAATTTTAGCTCTCAATTTGCAAAATGAGCTGAGATAATCAACTGTCTTGCATACGAGAGGGTACATAGAACGAGGAGGGTAAAGGAAAAATTATTTGGCCATACCTTTCGGTCGGCCCAGCACTGGCCTTTTTCGAAATCTTAAAAGCCTGGCGCGGCCCCTGAAAAACCTTTGCATAATTTTGAATCACAATTTTCCCGCCATTTTGACAATATTTTGGGCCATGCTTATGCTTGGAAAAGACCATTGAGAACCGGAAGATTCGTTGAGATACGGCCAAAAAGGGACGTTTATCTTTTACCGCATCTCTTGATTTGTCATCCTCTCTGCAAAGATTGTTGAGTATCTCAGATGCTCCTGGAAAGCGAGAGCTAAAATTGTGTGCTTTTGAAACATAGCCTTTTCAGAGGTTATGTTCGAAATCTGAGGGAAACTTGAACGTCTGACCGATGCGAGCTGAGCATAGGCATTTATAAGCTATAAGGATTTATAAACATCTTTTCCAGAGATGTCTCCGACATCACGCAGTTCAATGAGATGTTGGGAGGCCGCGTTAAGACGCTCCATCCCGCGGTTCATGCGGGAATCCTGGCCAGAGACACTGCTAGCGATGTGGCTGACCTTAAAGTAAATACTGTTTATTTATACAGTGGGAGACCTGATGAGGCGAAAAACGTACCATTTTGCATCCGGGAAGTATTAAAAATGTGGCAAAATGCTTCGCTCGTTAAGTGAAAAAAACTTTGTTTTGAACGGCTCCCTCACAAAAAGAGTGGGCGCGCTTTTGAAATTTGAGTTTTTTTCACTTGAAAAGGGAGGTATTTTGCCACACATTTTGATACTTCCTGGACGGAAAATGGCACGTTTTTTGCCACTGCATCAGGCCCCCCACTGTAAATACCTCTCCACAAAAAAAGCACCATGCATACCCTCTAAATGAGCTTTTCAGGCCAACAATTTCAACTTTTGCCAAGTTGTGGTCTGCAATTTGTACCCATTTGATGCCACGATTCAAAAGCCCGATTGCACGTTGTCGGACGCCATTGAAAACATTGATATTGGTGGTGTGACGTTGTTGAGGGCGGCTGGAAAGAACCATGAGAGAGTGACGGTGCTCACGGATCCCGCCGATTATCCACAGTTCATTGAGGAGGTGAGGGTTTTGGAAGGCGTTTTTCTTGAGTAAAAGGGAGTCGAATGGCTTCAAACTTTTGAATAGACAAAGTAGATGAGTTGTAGATTTGACATAAAAATTTTGAGATCTAAAAAAATAGATTTAGTCGACTAATATGGTGATATTATACTAAGTATCCCTAGTACAACATCCCCTTTCAATCCTTTTCGATTTTCCTCAAATTTTGCATACAATCTCTACATAAGTCAGTAATAAGTTCTTGAAAATTTCGCTCCACTAAATGCACCTGCAGCGGAGATATGGAACGATATTTTTCCGAGAGAACACACAAAATGAGGAGATTCGGCTAGACAAAGAAACGCTTTTTGACGACAACTTTTTGAATTTTTTATGGAAAAACTGATTTTTTCAAGCAGAAAACTGGGAAAATTTTGCCGATTTGTGTTCAAAAATGCGAATTTTTAGCCAAAATTTGGGCGTAGAAAACTCGAAATCAAAAATTTTTCCCGGCAGTAATTCCCTGACTAACAGGGGAAGTGCTCCAAGCACGACGCTCAGATTTTCTTTAAATTTTGCACACACGTCGGGTATGGACTAAATATCAATTCCTGAAAGTTTTAGCTCGCGCTTTGCGGGCGCCGCCGAGATATCGAACGATTTTTGCCGCAGAGAGAGCACTCTAAACGTGGAGAGCGGTCAGAGAGAAAATGGCGCTTTTTGGCCATAACATTGGCAGTTTCGTGCGGAAAAAATTGATTTTTTGTAGAAACATTATCCTTTACGGTAGAAATAGGCATGAAACCTTTCGTGCCGAAATTCGGCAAAAAGTCCTAAATTTTGGCCGACTTTCGATCTAAAAATCTCGGTTGTTTCTGCAAAGCGCGAGCTAGGGTTCTCGCCTATATCTTAGAAAAAATTATTCTATATTTGTGCCAAGTTTCATCAAAATCTGAGCGTCGCACTTGGGGTACTTCCCCTGTAAATGCGGTCTCTATTTTCATTCCAAAAGTTTGCAATTTCTTTCCGGTTTTGTGCGTTTATTTCGTGAGGCGACAGTGAGAGTTTTAGGCATGCATGACATTGTTTGCAATTCAATTTTTTTCTTTTTTTATTGTACTGGATATTAGACAAAACGAAGCGTCTTTTTTTACGTAAACTTTTTTTTTCTTTTTGAAAAATTTTTTTTTCGAATTTTTTTATTTTTTTGTTTTTTTTTCATTTTTTATTTTGCAAAACTTTTGCAAGAACCCTTCCAAACGACTTCCAAAATGTTTCAAGTCTGCAGATATTTAGGAACCAAATTTATGATCAAAACAACTGCAATGCCCGAAGCGGCGTGGACGTGGAATCGGTCCCCTGAGGCGTTATAGTGTTCCGCGTAGAAAAAGGCGCGCCTTTTGATGGGATTTCTCGGCCACCAAAAGTTTAAAACCTCCGCTGTTGGGGTTGTTACGGCTCTCTTATCTTGTAGACAATCAAAAAAAGGTTTTGTTTTTGGCCTTGTCTAGCTTTGTTTTTTTGATATTTTTTTAAAAAAATTAAAAATTTTTTATTTTTCAGTTCAAGAAGAACAACGGAAAAGTGTCGCAGGAGACCAGAGAGAAATTGGCGCTAAAAGTAAGTCACTTTTATTCTTATTTTTGGACAGAAAAATCCCCGAAAATGGCGTTTTTTGCCGAAAAAATATAAAAAGTCATCAAAAAATGGAGGTGTTAAAAAAAAAAAATAAAAATTTCTCAAAACCCGATCGACCGATTTCGCTCAAATTTTGCACAAAAATTATATACACTTTACTTAATAATCCCTGAAAATTTCAACTCTGACTTTGCAAGAAGAGCCGAGATATTCAACGATCAGGTGAGAGAGTATGCGAAATGAGGAGAACGGTCAGAAAAGTTTTTTTGGCTATTACTTTTTGAATTTTCTTCAAAAAAATCGGTTTTTTAGTGGAAATATTGCATCCCTTTTCCAAATAAAGGTTGAAAATTTCGAGCTAAAAGCTAAAAAAAATTTTGAAATTTTTTGATTTTTCGACCAAAAAATTGAAAAATTTTGGTCGATTTAGCCGACTAAAACTCTCAAATATGCTTTCAGAAATTACAGTCTTGTTTTTTTTCTACATTGCAACGAGCTATACTCCCAAAAAAATTTTGATATTTTTATATTTTTCGACCAGAAAATTGAAAAATTTTGGTCGATTTAGCCGTCTAAAACTCTGAAATATGCTTTCAAAAATCCTAGTAAATCCTACCCTTATTGTTTTCTAAATTTCATCGAATTTTTTCTAAATTATAACCCCGAAAAAGTCATCAAAACGATCTCTGCTCCAAATTTCTATAAAAATAACGCAATTCGCGGAAGGGTCAGAGCCCGAAAAAACAATGACAAGTTTGGTTTTGGAAACAAAAAAAATGTATTATATCGGAATGTCATCCGATTTTGAAGAGCGTCGAAGTTCTTCAAAATTTGTTTCCGCTTTGACGGGGTGGGCATGTTCGGACAAGTCAAGTTTGACCCCCATGGGTCAAGTTTTTCCCTCTCGAAATCTGGGCAAGTACTCCAAGTGTGACGCACGGACTTTGATGAAACTTGGCATAAATTTAGAATTATGTTTTCTACGACATATATATATATATATATATCTTACAAGGAAAGTACTTTTATGGGGGCTCCTACTTTTTGACGGGACATATCTCAAAAAATCAGAAAAAATGTGCTGATCAAGGATATATAAATCTTAGCTGCCCATTTTAGGTTTTTAGGGGTGAAAATGCCCAAAAACTGGCTTAATTTCCCTACAAAAGGCGCAGGCATTCGAAACGATAAAAAGCGCAGTCGGTCTCTTCCTTCGGAAGAGAGTGGTGTGGCCGAGTGGTTAGTGCCGTAGTCTGGGAATCAAGAGGGAACGCCGCACGGGTTCGATTTCCCTTTTGGGCTGGTTCAACTTTTTTTGATGATGAAGGTTGGAAAAATAAATTTTTGTGCCAAGACTGATTTATAACGTCTTAGAAACTCAATAAACATCATTTTAAGCCAAAATAAAAATTGTAAACCTGTGAAAAATTAAGCAAAAAGGGGTTCATATAGGACTTTAAGTCAACTTCCGATTGAGTTTTCACCCGTAAAAACCTAAAATGGGCAGCTAGGATTTACATATCCTTGATCAGCACATTTTTTCTGATTTTTTGAGATATGTCCCGTCAAAAAGTAGGAGCCCCCATAAAAGTACTTTCCTTGTTAGAAAAAATTGTTCTAAATTTATGCCAAGTTTCATCAAATCTAAGCGTCGCACTTGGACAACTTCCCTTGTGAGTTTTGAAATTTTCATTCTTTGAAAACGTCCTAGCCGTGTGCCAAGGAACTCATCAAGACCAAAAGTTCTTTTTATCTTCTTGATGTAATCTTGCAATATTTGCGAGTGATTTTTCTCGAATTTCGCCACTCTTTTTCATTCCAAAAAGTGCACAGTATGCAAAAACAAAGCAAACTTTTGTTTTCGCGCAGTGCAAGTGCCAAAAATCAGTCCGCCGACTTTCCGGAAGGACCCGTAGAACTCCGCTTCTAAACGTATTTCCCCTCCAAGAACTTCATTTCTAACCCCATTCAGCGTTGTTTCCAAGTTTTTTAATCTTTGGTTCTAATCAAAATTTGGCACGGTTCCCTTCAGAGCACTCACTCTGTATTCTCTTCTACTTTTTTTGGGCCGTCGAATTATAAGCGATGAGTGAGCGGATTCGGCGAAAAAAGGTGGGCAAAACGTTTTGTTCAGAGAACAAATTTTGAGAGTGAAAAATTGAAAAAAATTATTTCGAAAAAGTTGGTCTATTAGACTAGAAATTCTTGTCTAGCGTTGTAACGGAGGTGTCAGAGCCTCAGAGACTATAGGTAAGTGGCTGGGATAAAAGTGGAGGATAATGGCCGGTAGATTTGAGAGATTTGAGAGGACGGAGAACTTCCGGGGGCTTCTGATATTGATGAGACTTTTTTAATTTTTTGACAACTTGTTTTACTGACAGGGGAAGTCTCCCCAAGTGCGACGCTCAGATTTTGACGAAACTTGGCACAAATTTAGAATAATTTTTTTTTAAGATATATGCAAGAATCCCAGCTCGCGCTTTGCAGAACAACCGAGATTTTTAGTTCAAATGTTGGCGAAAATTTGACACTTTTTGTCGAATTTCGGCACGAAAAGTTGTATGCCTATTTCTACCGTAAAGGGTAATGTTTCCACAAAAAATCACACAAGTTACAAAGTTATGGCCAAAAGGCGTTTTTATCTCTGACCGCTCTCCGGGTTTATCGTACTCTCTCGGTGGCAAAGATCGTTCAATATCTCGGTGGCGTTTGCAAAGCGCGGGCTAAAACTTTCAAAAATTGATATCTAATCTATGCCCGATGTGTGTACAAATTTTAATGAAAATCTGAGCGTCGCACTTGGGGTGCTTCCCTTGTGAGTAGGCAATTTACAAGGCGCTACACTCAACAATTTTTTTCTGATTTTTTGTAGCTATATATGCAATATCATCATTCTTTCACGCATTGTGAAACACCCGAAATGTCGAAACGAAAATTTACGACTTGTATGACAAATGGTTTTTCGGTCGGTTCTAATTTATGGACAAACATTCAGCGGCGCGTGAATGTGATGCTCACCCTCAAAACTCAATGAAAAATATTCGAAATTGGACTTCAGGAAGTCCGAAAGTCCAGTCTTTGGATGGCGTTGTTACCTGGGAACTTTACGGTTCTTTGAACTCGAGTTTCTCGTGGGACGGTCGATCTTTTCGGGGATAAAATTTAAAAAAATCAAAAAAAAATTTGAAAAAATTTAAATTTTTTCGTCGTATAACATGTCACATGCTATTTTTTTATAAGGAAAAAATTTCCATTTTTTGGGGGACTCTTCGGACTTTCGTGAAAACGAAAAAGGGGCCTCTTCGGCTTTCTTAGGGGGCCTCTTCGGACTTTTCACGAAAATGAAAAAGGGTCTCTTCGGTTTTTTAGGGGACCTTTTCGTATGGGGGCCTCTTTAGATTTTTTTGATAATGAAAAATGGGGTCTCTTCGGCTTTTCCGAGGACCTCTTCTTTTGAAAGGGGCTTCTTCGGCAGAGGTTCCTCTTCGTCTAGGGGGCTGCTTCTTGCAGATGGGCCTCTTCAACAGCACCGCTACCTCAGACGCACCTCGTTTGTCCCAACTTTTCCCATCCGCGAGTGATGTGTACCGCCCTTAATTTTGTTGTTTATTTGCCGCTTGTCAAATCCGCTCGAAGTTGGGGTTCCGAACCGAACCCAATGAAGAGTGCATCGGGCGGCGAAACCGCATTTTGAGGACCTTTTAAAACGACTTTTCCCGGCGGTGACAAAAACTCCCCCCAGCCCCGCCGAATGTGGCAAAATTGGGGCCCAAAAAGGGGGAAGAGTTGGGGCGAATGAAGCCGCGGGCAGAGAACGGTTCCGAACTTATTTTCACGGTTTCACGTGTTTGGAGCCGGGCCTCCCGACGAGATTTCGAAGCCGCGGTGCGCATTGTTCGCTGAGGAGGGGGGTTGGGCGAGGACAAAGAAGATCGGATTAGAAGCGGGGATTACGGTAGTCTTGGGTGGTGAATGGGATGTAGTTCTGATTTAATGGGGTTACTCGCCGGATAACTTGTCTGGACCCCGGTTTTTGGGCGTGTATACATGTTGATTAGTGTCTAGGATTGTGTAGGGACCACAGGGATGAGATTACTTTGATTAGAAAGGAGTAGGGCGGGTTTGTTCAGCGACGTCTTTTGAAGTCAAGATTTGGCCATGTAGTCTACAAAAGTGATGTTTATAGACACCCTGAAGATCTGTTGGGAGTAAGATGTTAGACATAGGAAATTAGGGTCCCTGAGGGTCCTAAAAATATAACGTTTGTTAATTTTGATTAATTTTTTTCGGGGTTATTAGGAAAAGAAGATCTGCGTGTCCTTCCGACTGGCCCAGTGTAAGATGTTGGCTAAATACGACCTTTGAGGGAACTTTCAGACTATGCAAACTTCCCAGACATTTAGAATATTGATTTCTTAGGGATATACCAGATTTTTTACTAGCTGTTTACGAAAAAAATTGCGATTTTTTGGTCAAAAGACTGCCTGGTGACTCTCCCCATTTGTTGTGCTCCCTCGGGAAAAGATTGCGTAATATCTCAGCTCCCACTAGAAAGCAAGAGCTAAGATTTTCAACATTTAAGGTACAGTCTATAAAGAGTATACAGAGTAAATTTCAAGGCAATCGAACCGACCGGCTTGGTGTTACATCCATTTTATGACGAATAACCGGAGGTTTTTTTCTTCGGGGTTTTTTCTCAAAAAACTTTTCTTATTACGGTAGAATCGCATAGATACTGTAAAGATTGTATAATACTGTAATGTACAAACCGCCGAGCCGACTATTTTTTTGGACTTTTACTCGATACTTGTTAGTTTTGTTTTTTTTTTGTCACGAGTTTTTCGCACTTTTCCGCTCTTCATTTCGAATACGTCCACTACTTTTTATGGGCATGAAAATTGAATGGAAAATGAAGTTTGGTTGAGTTGGCTGCCTAAACGACACTAATCGGGCTTTGGTTCGACAGCAACTGAGGAGATATATCAAATCTACTACAATATAAAATTTCGGCCAATCTTCGACAAAAACAGGATTTTTTGGAAAATTTACCGGTCGATAATTAAAATCTCCGCTGGCAGCAGGATCAACAAAGAGCTGAGAGGAATTTGCAACAAATTTTCAACGGAATCTCAACGGATTTTCATCTCATTTCAAGGCTTTTTGAGCAGATATCTGATATTTTGGCCGGTCTGAAAGAAACGATTTTTTTGGAAAATTTACCGGTCGATAGTTGGGACTGCCGTTGGCAAAAGGAGAAGTGAGGACCTGAGAGCTATTTGCAACAAATTTTCAACGGAATCTCAACGGAGTTCCAACGGATTTCAACGTTTTTCGAGCAAGGCCCCTTAGTCATCGTAAAATCCAAATAAAAAGCCTAAAATACGGTTTGTAGCCCGACTTCTACCACTCGCGACATCTTGAAAATGTCGCGGATATCTTCGATGGCCCGCTTCCGTCGGGCCGTCGCCGAGACCGAGGACGACAACGGCCGAAAAGAGGCGATAAAGGAGCTCCAAATGGACCTGATCGACCCGCTGCGGCGGCGCTCGCGGTCCGGCTCACGGCTCTTGGACACGATTCAGACCCAATTGGCGCGACGAACGAGTATTTTCACACGGATTGTTATTAACGGGGTAATTCGAGGGGCCGAACTGGAGATGTTGGACTTGATTTTTTGCGAAAAAAATCGAATTTTTTTTAAAAACTGCTAAAAATTTCAAAATTTTCAAATTTTTCAAATTGAAAAAAAAAATTTTTTTGCAATTCAAGTCCAATATCACCAAATTTGGCCAAAAAATATTTGTCATGAAACAAAAAAAAGAAAAGAATTTGTTTACCGAACAAATTTTCCTCAAGCCCTTAGGGCATCTTAATCCGATTTTCCCAAAAACTCCTGCAAGTTTCAATTTCGAATTTTTCGGCCGCCGACGGCCGAAAAAGTTCGGGTGTTCTATAAATAACAGACGTAGAAAATCTGAAGTAATTGACGTAGATCGGGAATTCGTCTTGTAATTTGATTTTTTGAGAGAAAAATGGGATTTTTTGAGGGAAAAATCGAAAAAATCAAAAAAATTTTAAAAAATATGAAAAATAAAAAAATTTTTTTTTGGTTTTAAAAATCAGTGTTAATCATTTTTAAGGCGGAAAAAAAATGATTTTAAAGCAAAAAAAATCAGAAAAACCGAAAAAATCAAAATTTTAAAATTCAAATTTTTATGCAAATTTTTCCTTCCAGGTATTCGAGCACACGTCCTCATACGACGAGTCGATCAGCGGTTATATGCGACGCCAGTTCGGCGACAATGGCGAGCGCTTCATTCCACTCCGCTACGGGACCAACCCACACCAGAAGGGCAACGCCGAACTCTACTCCCTCCAGCAGGACATGCCTATCAAAGGTGAGGGAAAACCAAGCTTTTTTATGGGGTTTTTAACTATTTTTTAGGTTATTGAAAGGTTTTAGAGGAAAAAAATCAATTTTTTTATATTTTTAAGCATTTTTATGGGAATTTTAACTGTTTTTTAGGCTTATTGAAGTTTTTAGAGGATAAAAAATCAATTTTTTCTATTATTTTTTTTTTTTGTGAAATTTACCTCACAAAAATTCATAAAATTCGGGCCAAACTTACAGGGGAAGTACTCCAAGTGCGACGCTCAGATTTCCTTAAAACTTTGCACACACGTCAGGCACCAACTAAATATCAATTCCTGAAAGTTTTAGCTCGCGCTTTGCCGGCGCCGCCGAGATATCGAACGATTTTTGCCGCCGAGAGAGCACGCTAAACGTGGAGAGCGGTCAGAGAGAAAAGCGCTTTTTGGCCATAACTTTGGCAGTTTCGAGCGGAAAAATTTGATTTTTTGTAGAAAAATTATCCTTTACGGTAGAAATCGGTAAGCAACTTTTTGTGCCGAAATTCGGCAAAAAGTCCAAAATTTTGGCAGACTTTCGATCTAAAAATCTCGGTTGTTTCTGCAAAGCGCGAGCTAGGATTCTCGCATATATCTTAGAAAAAATTGCTCTAAATTTGTGCCAAGTTTCATCAAAATCTGAGCGTCGCACTTGGAGTACTTCCCCTGTTTGATCGGGATTTTCCAAGGCATATGCGGGATTTTTAGCAATTTTTAATACAAAAAATATCAAAATTTTTTAAAAATTTTTCCGTTCAAAATTGAACTACAGCAAAAAAATTTTTTCTCTCCTCTCCTTATTTTCCACACTCTCTCAAGGGCTTTTTCAACATTTATTTTTTCCAAAAATACCCAGATTTTTTTAAAATTCTAGGCTTTTTGAATAGCATTTTTTATCTTTATTTTTATCATTCCCTGCCAATTTTTTCCTCTCTTTTGATTACCGAATTTTCCGCCCGATTTCCCAAAATTGTTTGCCCGAATTTGCGGGCAAACTTTGGTCAGAAGCGGGGCTTCGTTTTTTGGTAAATCCAATTTGAGCCGGTTCATTAAACTTTGTCCCCATAAAACGTCTGCATTCCCCCCAAATCTCATGCCCGCTTTATGCGGCCGTAAAGTTGGCGGACGTCAGAAGCGCGAAAGTGCGCGGGATACGAACCGGATGTACGGATTTTTTGGAAAAAATATGGAAAAAATTAGAATACAGTAATGATTACATATAAAAATTTGAATGAAAATTCAAATTTTCATTCAAAAATTTCAAAAATCCAAAAATTAAAAAAATTTTTTTTTGGTGCAAAAAATTGGGTATTATGTTTGTTATAGAGAATACAACATTCTCGAGAAAAAATTATTTTTTCCCGAGCAAAACTGGCGAAGTTATGGGCAAAATTTTTTTCTCTGACCTTTTCGCACCTATCCGCAAAGATCGTTGAATATCTCAGCTCTCTCTGCAAAGAGCGAGATAAAATTTTTCATAGTTAATATATAGCCTATACAGAATGTACATACAAAATTTCAAGTCAATACCACCTTTACCGTTCATGTAATTGCCCTTTAAATCTAACCTTTCAGTGCTAAACGGCGCTCCCGGATACATCAACATTTTGGATGGGCTGAACGCATGGCAGCTGGTCAGCGAGTTGGCGGTGGCCACGCAGATGCCCTCCGCCGCCTCCTTCAAGCACGTGTCGCCCGCCGGAGCCGCGGTGGGACTGCCGTTGAGCGACGCCGAAGCGCAAGCATTCTTCGTGGCGGACTTGAACTTGGACTCCAAGAAACCGTCGCTCGCGGCGGCTTATGCGAGGGCTAGAGGTAAGTTCTTCCGTTCTAATTGGGACTAGGATTCCTCGTTTTATTTTCCAATCTTTCAGTTCGAATACTCTTTGATTTTCTCTAATTTTTTAAATTTATATTATTTTAACCCATTGATGTCTCTAAAACAAGTTTTTCCTCGATTTTCCCGACTTTAAGTTTGTGTATTTCTAACCCTTGTGTTGTGTTCAGAGCAGGAATGGATAATGTGTCGGAAAGTGGACCGAAAAATCGCTCAAATTCTGGGTGAGAGCCGGTAAAGTCCACAAAAAAGTCACTGCTTTATGCCACATCAAGTTTAGCACCTCAATTTGAGAAAGCAAACTAGTAGCACAATAAACTTACAAGGGAGGGGAATAATAAGATTTCTCTGGTCCTAATGTAGCTTGTCACCTATTTTGAGGCATTTTACATGTACTCACATCAATAATATCTAGGTAAAAGTTACGGATCATCGTTTTTTGTCGCAAATTTTAATCTTATATGTATATGCTGCAATAACCTAGGGTAAAGAAAACTAACGTTAGTAATAGCTAAATTAGAAAGAGTGGCCGTATTGTAAGCCTTCGCCAAGTGTCCGCCTAGCCTTCGCCGAGCATCATTTTCATTTAGCGGCTTTTCCAAAAAAAAACACTTTTTTCTTAGGCAACCATATATTTTTAGGCCAAAAAACCTCAAAAAAGCACAAATTTCTTCTGCAATTTTTTTGCGTTTTGGAGAATTAGGCAATGTTTGTAAAGAGTCCAATATTCCGTCAAAAAATCAGCCTTTTCCCAGAAAACCTCGCAAAGATATGGGGTTTTAACTTTTTGACCTTTTGTTAGAAAAGACCGTTGAATAATTTGTTCGCCTCTGTAAAGCGCGAGATAAAATTTACAAAAAAATTATTTAGATCACACAAAAAAACATGTGCCAAATTTGAAAAAGATCTGACTTTGATGCGTCGAGCATATTTCATTTCGAAAAAAGTGCTTGAAAGAATTCGTTAGTACGCTCACCTCACGGCTTTTGTCTTTTTTTATCGTTCTAGTTCAGCAGAGTCTCTGTACAACGTATTCTGCGTATAAATCAAAGTTTTAGCAGCTTCAAGGGTCAATTAAAGGCTAAAATGAGCCATCGTGATCGTACGATGCATCGTACAACGAAGCCCCTTTGTAACGAAAAAATTTTGTGGTCCCTTCGCGATTCGTTGTACAGAGGTTTACTGTATGTGGTTCTTGTCGATTTTCCGTGTTGTCCATGATCTACCGGCTTTACTGGTCGATGTAATACTGTTTTTCTGACTGTCGCTTAGTTTTTGACTTTGCTTTTCCGTAACCAATCACTTGAGTTGCTCTAAACCCCCGTTTTCATCGCGAATCCCGCTTCAGGAGCCGATCGTATGTCCTCCTTCGGCGACTTCGTCGCGCTCTCGGACAAGTGCGACGAACTGACCGCGAAGATCATCAGTCGCGAGGTGTCGGACGGCGTGATCGCCCCCGACTTTGACGAGGCCGCGCTGGACTTGTTGGCCAAGAAGAAGACGGGAAATTACACAATCCTGAAGATTGACCCCAGGTATTTGCCGGGCGAGGACGAAATCCGCACAGTTTTTGGCTTGAAGTTGAAGCAGAAGAGGAATGCGGCGCTCATTGCACCGGAGACCTTCACCAACATCGTGTCGGAGAACAAAGAGGTGAGTTTTATCGTTTATCTTGTACAAGGTCGAGCGGCTAGACCGGGATGACTTCTTTGGCCAATAAGTTGACAACTTGTGAATCAAAATTTACAAAAATTAAATAATTGGAAACCTCAAGGACCCCATTTTTCGGTATATACATTGTGCTGACTGAAAATGCCCTTAGGTCAAGTTTTAGCCGGTTTTTTATTTCTATTTCATTTTGGCCGGCGGAAGTTTTCTTTGGTCAATAGCTCGGAAAATAACGGCTGAAAATGTATAAAAATTATTTTATTGGGGCCCACAGGGACCCTATTATTCGACAAGCACCTCAGTTTTACTTAAATGCCCTTAGGCAATCTGTACAATTAGTTTTATTGAGCCCACTCCAAACGAATCGACAGTAACTCAGGGCTGAAAATTAAGAAAAATTAATGAAAAAAATGCGATTTTATGTAAGCCCTGAGGGGATATTGCCACAAACCTTTGCAGTCCACTACAATAGAGTCCCTGTAGGTTTTGCAAATCTAAGTTTTGTCAATTTTGATCCGAAATTTCCCTAGCTATTGGCAAAATAACTCGTCAGGGTCTAAACGAACCCTCCTGCAAGCTAATTAATCAAATTTTAGCTCCCCAAATCCGCCGTGGACGATCTTCTCGTAGCCACAATTGCCGTCAAATACACTCAATCCAACAGCGTGTGTTTCGCCTATCACGGTCAAGTGATTGGGATCGGGGCGGGCCAACAAAGTCGGATCCATTGTACTCGGCTGGCCGGCGAGAAGGCCGCGAACTGGTAGGTTTTGTAGCGTACTTAGAGCCTTTAAAGCATTTCTAAGTTTAAAAGCGTTCGCTATGAGTTTATTGTATTATAGTAATGTATAGGAAGATCGGGGCAAAAGATTTTATTCTTCGGCGGTTTGCTGATAATTAACTAACATTCACGGCAAATCTCTTTGACTGCCAGCCAGTAGGGCGTTGTCAGACCGGTCCGACAGCCATTCGCACCGCCGTCGTGGATTCGGGCAATCGTCTCGCAGTCACTTTTGCCATAACATTTTAGCCGGAAGCGAGTGGCGACATGCTGAAAAATGAAGGGCTTCGTAGAAAAAATGGGCTCAAAAAAGAAGTGCTCTGTAGATTATAGAGATTTTGATGATGCTTGGCCAAACTTGGGCCTAAAATTTTCCAACAAAACATGATTTTTTTCTAATAAAAATTCGACCTATATATAAGCCAATTGCGAAAAAGAACTCGCACTTACTTTTATGCAATTGCTGGCGCATTCAAAATTCTCGGCGCACCGCATCCACGCCTCCTCCGACTCCTCGCCGATATGACGTCCCGGCTCGTAGCACTGCTTGAATTGCCAGATATTCATTCGGAAGTACCCGCAGCCCACCCGACCCGCCGCGTCCGTGGCGCAGCCGGTCTGCGTGCATCCACTGTCCGCCATGCACATGGCTTTCATGCATTGACTGTCGAAAGCGACTGAAATGAAACAAGGGTGAACGAGGGAGGTCAGAATGGACATGGACGGCTTCTATTGACAATATCTCGGGAAATACTGCATAAAAATTTAAATAACCTAAATTACTGGGACCCGTAGAGGTCCTGTATTTCGGTATATAAAGCTTTTCCCCTGAAGATACCCTCAGGCAAAATTATTGACAATTTCTTTACTGTGTTTTTTCAGTGGGGCAGATGGACAAGACCAACTTATTTTGCCTCTATCTTGAGAAATAACGGGTTAAAATACATAAAAATTATGTTATCGTGGTCTATGGGGGATCTACTTGTGCAAATGCAACAATAGATTGCCAACTCCCCTCAGGGTTTTTGTAAAATCGAGATTTTTTAATTGAGTCCGCCAAATTTTTAGTTGTGAAAGGGGTCGATAAAACTGAATTCCACGGATTGCCTGAGGGCCTATAAGTTCTAAAAAATGGTACAGTAAAAGACAGGGTCACTGAAGGTCCCAGAAATACATTTCTCTTTTATTTTGATCTATTCCATCCCACATTATTGCCAAAACAAAATTTTGGTCCATTTCCCTTCTAAAGCCTTACTTTGTTCAACATGGAAGAACCCATTAACATAAGGCACCATAACAAGTAATACAGCAGTTAGCACACTTTGCATTGAGATCTTAGAAGCCTGCATTGTCAGCAGTCTCAATTGCTTGCAGCTATAAACACAGTGGAAACTTTTTACGGCTCTCCAAACTCGTAGTAATCGATAGCGTTGAGGGATTTGGCACGGTATCCAAATCTGAACGCCAAGAACTTGTTCAGCATTGAACTGCGGATGGCGTTGGAGACAAGGCGCTGGGTCGTGCGAGTAGGATGTCTGAAAAATTCGAGGATTATTTGCGATGACATAGATTGAGCGCAACGAAAAGGTGGTGCTCGAAAAAAGAGTGTTATAAATGAAGTTACAAGCCAGTTTCACAGATATATTATTTTCATTTTACACTGTTTAGTACTACAAGGAGCATGACAGGCTAATTTAAAATCCCCGCCAAACTGGCCACAAGACATAAGAAGCCCCTTTGAAACGGCAAAAAAAAATTCTCAGGCCTATACCGACCGGTCGACAAAGGCTGGACTTTCTGATTGCCCACTCTACTAGCCTTTATCACACGCTCTTTCAATAGGCCGCATTCCTTTTTACGTATCGCTCATCAAAATCTAGAAATGGTAATTCTTTGGACTTTTCAAAGAAGATCAATATCTTTGCCGCAAGCACGATGCAACAGCCAAAAATAGCAGTGTTAGAACTCTGATCTATCCACACAAAAAAGCCGGAATTTGGAGAAAATTGAATGGCGATCTTTTGAGTATTGATCAGTTTAATCAACTCGCCTAAAAAGTAATGTCTCCGAAAAAGATTGTTGAATATCTCAGCAGGCGCTGCGCAACGCAAGCTAAGATTTTCAGCGATTAATTCTTACGTCTTGTAGAGCATCTACCCAAAGTTTTAAGGAATTCCGACTTTGTGATTTGGCGGCTTCAAACTCTTATTATCTACCAACAAAGGCTCAAAAAATATAATAAATTTCTACTGCTACAACTGCCTTGCTAATATATGTAATATCTCATCAAATGCAGATGATATCTGCAAAACCGAGCTCTCCACGGTCTCCTCCCATTTTCCGCCGGCCAAATTATACCATAGTTTAGCCATAGTACGACGTAGAATGACCACATGTCATCCGCATTCACCGTGAAAGACAATGCACGCTTTTATACGCAAAAAGGGAAGGGCTGTAAATGCCGACGACTACATCATGACTCAATTGATGACGTCCTTTTTCGCTACGTAACAGAGTTTATACGACGCAGTTCGAGCCCTACCCGGAATGGCGTTAACATAAATCAAGCGCGCGAGTAAATCCCGTTTGTTGCAGAAAGAGGAAAGGGCCTAAATAGGCGTCGGGGATTACTGTACTGTTGGGTCAAACAAGAGCGAAGTGTAAAGGGCTGAGAACTTGAGAGTTGAGAGTTTAGAAGGGTAATAGAAGCGCGAGAAAAGCTAGTTGAAGATCGATTTCGACGATCAAGAAAGTGGCCCTAAAGGAGTTTGGCATAAAGGAGTTTTATCGACCTAGTACTCAAATTTTGCTCATCGTATTTCGTTCAAATTTTGTTGACATAGTCTAGCTAGTCTTTTTATGACTTCCTAAAAGTTTCAGCTCTCGTTTCAAAGTTTTAAATCTCAAAAATCTTAACGAAAAATCCCATAGTTACATTTTTGACCAAAAATTTTAAATTCAAAATTTCCCAAAAACGAATAGTCCAAGACTCCTTAAATTTTCTCTCAACAAACTTAATAGACCGCAAATCAATCCCTGAAAATTTCAGCTCATCCTTTGCATAGAGATCTGAGATATTCATCGGTCTTTGCCGCTGAGAAAATAGGAAAATGACGGTGATAGAAATTAGTCATCTTGCTCATCTTGCTCGTATCTCTCTTGATTTTTCGGCTCAAAGGTTGACTTGCAAAAGTTACAAAGCACGGAGGTTTGGCAGAGACTTGCCAGGCATTCGGCAAAGGCTCGGCGGAGACTTGGCGAAGACTTAAAACATGTCCATTTTTTAAGCACAGCTGTAGCAAACGTTCTTCTTTTGACCCTGAGCTCTCTACGGCAGAAAAGACCAAAACTCACTTCAAAATACAAAGAGCTATAGGTTTTCTCTGAAGACGAAAGTTGTATGTCCCTGTAAAATCCATAAAATAGTTATATCCATTGATAAACGAGCCTCGGACCTTGACTATCTTATTATTTCTATTTTTCACAGGAAATCCTGTAGTGCCTTCAGGTTGTTTCCAAAACTCTCCCGAAATCCCGATTGATGACTTTTGCCACGCCGTTTAGACAGTTTTTACTGTAAACACACTTTTATTACCGTCTAGTCAGCTCCACAAATTGGCAAAAAAAGTGTCAACAACATCCTTCCGACCGAGATTCGTTACTACCCCAAAAGAGTTTACAAATCCCCGCGCTAACTCGGTTCCCTCCCTCCCTTCTCTTCCTTAATTGACGCTACGTAATAATCGTATTTTACGGCGCGAAAACAAACGTTTTACCCATGTTTCTGACAGCCGAATGCTAAATTTAGACCACATAACAATAGCGTTGACCGACCGTTTTTAATAAGCAATCTTTCCTCTCACATATCCACCGGCGAGACGGGCTTCCGGTTTGGCCTATCGTAATAAGCGAACGCCTGAGGGCAGGACGTGCGTCTCGCTCAGAAACACACGTCATATCTTGGAGCAATAATCCGCCAAATATTTGCGAATGCGCTTGAAAGGAGTGATATCGAATTTTGACCCAAAAAAGTTCCCGTCCAATGTTTGTTTTTTGAAGTGAACGTCACTTTCGCGGGTCGGCGAATGCAAATTTATAAAGTCCCCGAATCCGGGAATAAATAAATCATCGCCGCAGCCCATTCATCATATTACGTTCGCACTTGGACGCGGGTTACGGTGGAAGGGTGAAAGTTCCTTATTCTGGCCACAACTTATAACTTTGCGGAAACTGGTCAGAATTAGCCCAAATTTAGCGTGCAGGTGCAGGCTCAATTCATTGTTGACAGTACCAGGACTCTGGATTTAGTTAGTGAAGTACCTTCTTTTTTACGTACCACCTTACCCTTCAAAAACGGCTGCAGCCTGCGATTTTACACTTTATACGATAAAACATGTCCGGAACTAAGCTTACTGCCTCGGTATAGACCTAAATGAGTCGTCATCGCCTTCGTAGATACCCCTGAAACTATAGAGCTTTTATAGTAATTCAGTGCCAGTTAGGTCGAAGCCTCTTTTCCTAACTTTAGTTTCCAAGCTTGGGCGCAGCTCGCAGAGTGCCTTTGTTGTGGCCAGAATAAGGAACTTTTTCCGAGCAGAAAGATCGTGAGGTTTTGAAGCGAAATTATGGAGGGTATAGAGCATTTTGCGACTTGAAAATATCTGTGGTTTCTGCAAAGATTTTAGGCTGAAAGTCCGGCATGCGCTTTGTGAGAACTTATTCTAAATTTACTTCAAGTTTCAAGCAGATCTCTCAGCTTCAAAGTTTTAAATGTTAGCGGAAAATGCAAGTATAACTATTATCGTTTAAAAGGACATACTCCAAGTAAACTTTATACACACATCGGTCACCGGCTACATATTGATAACTGAAAGTTTTAGCCCCCACTTTGAAGGGAGAGCCGAGATATTCAACGATCTTTGCGGACGAGAGAGTATGCAAAACGCGGAGAGCCGCCAGAGAAAAGCATTTTTTGGCTGTATCTTTGTCGGCTTTGCATGGAAAAAAATAATTTTTTGTGGAAAAATCACTCTCTGCAGTAAAAATAGGCACAAAACTTTTCGTCCCAAAATTCGCAAAAAATTGTAGTTTTTTCGCCGCTTTTCAACCTAAAAATCTCGGTTGTCTTTGCAAAGCGTGAGCTAAAGATCTCGCATATACTTTAGAAAAAAATTTGAGTCAAGCTTCAACAAAATCTGAATGTTGCACTTGAGGTACCTCCCCTGCAAATTAAATTCGACAGTTTTCTTGGTACGATGTTCAGATCTTGGTCAGACTTTGAACATGCTATTCACCTAGGCTATATTTCAATCTCTGAAAATCTTAGCTCTTGATTTTCAAAGACAGCCGAGATATTCAACCGTTTTTTCCAACGAGAGAGTCCGCGAAATGAGGAGAGCGGTCAGAGAAAAACCCCTGTTTTTTCGGAGGTTTAAAAGCAAATCGCTGAAAATCAGCCAAATTTTTGTAAAGATTACTTAATTTACAACCAAAAAAGCGCAAAAATAATAGTCGGAAAAGCAGTTCATAGTCGATTAAACACCTCAGTTCACACATGTCATACGTATTTCCCCAGGAAATTTTTGTTTACACTCACAAAGTTCGAATAACAACCAGAAAGGGGACAAATCACAGGTCGGTAAGCATTCGTTTTTTTGCTTCAAGGCTCTTTCAAGCGCAATTGAGATCCTGTTTTTGCGATGACGTAGAGTAGCTCGTTTTACCGCCATAATTTACAGAAATCCGAGCCCAAAAATTCGAGCTTGCCTTTCGCAGCGTCTGTGATGAAAACTCGTCTAATTTGCGTGAATTTCCAGTGTGTCCAGACAATTTTTTTTTCGTTTTTTGGAAAAGACAAACAAGATTTTTTTTAGTCGAAAGCTGGCAAAAATGTGACAAGTTTTTGCGAATTTTGCCATGAAAAGTTTATTGGCTATTTCTACCGTAGAATGTAATGTTCTCACAAAAAAATCATTTTTTCCGCACTAAAATCGCAAAGATATGGCCAAAAGGTGTTTTCTCTGACCGTCTCTCCGCATTTTGCGTACTCTCTCGGCTGCAAAAATCGTTCAATATATGGCTCGGGACTTCTAAATCTCTCCGCAAGAGTCCATCCGAACCCTGGAAATTTAGTCCAAAGTTAAAAGTTGACAAAAAAGAAGAAGGCGACAGAGAAAGGCAGAAATTCTTACAAAGAGAGAAATTGCGCAATGTTATGTCAAATTGCGCAACTTTTAACTTTGTACTAAATTTGCAGGGTTCGGATGGACTCTTGCGGAGAGATTTAGAAGTCCCGAGCCATATATCTCGGAGGGACCTGCAAAGAGCGAACTAAAACTTTTAGGAATTGATATGTGTCCTATGCCCAAAGTGTGCGCAAAATTTAAAGAAAATCTGAGCGTCGCGCTTGGGGTACCTCCCTTGTCAATTTTTAAAATAAAAAAAAAATTTTGCAGTTTATAAACTGCAGAAATTTTGAAGACCCCCAAAAAAGCACAAGCCTGACGCTTGTGACTTTTACGAAAACTATTTCCCTTAAAACGGTCGTAAAACCGACCTCTGAGATGATAAAAACGACGGTTTCAAGTCGAAATCACATCGCTCTCGCTTCGCTTTTAATTTCAAAAAAAAAACTCGCTGCAATCATTTTTGATAAGACCAGGGCATTGATCGAAACCATTTTCTCGATTAGGCTGCACTTCTAATCATCGGTTTGATCAAAAATTAGACTTTGCAGCGATTTTATGGACCCTAATGAACCAATTTATACGATAAAAAAGTGCATTATCAAGGTTTAAAGAGGAAATTTTTGAATTTCCATTTTCCCGTCATTTTGGCAATACTTTGGCATTGTGTTTTTGGCCCGTTTTTGGGGGGTTTCATCGTTGCCAGCTACATTTCAAACAACAAAAAAATGTTTTCGATCCGTATAGAGCCACAAATACATCTTGTTGCATAATGCCAAGAAGCCAAATTTGGCATCCCAAGTTTCCATTACTAGACGAAAAAAAATTCTAATGGGGCCGATTTCCAACCTTGAAGCCGAAGCCCGGCCCCAAAAAATTTGATCGTTTATACGATAAAAAAGTGCATTATCATGGTTTAAAGAGAAAATTTTTGAATTGAAATTTTCCCGCCAGTTTGGCAATACTTTGGCATTGTGTTTTTGGCCCGTTTTTAGGGTGTGTCACCGTTGCCAGCAACATTTCGAACAACAAAAAAATGTTTCCGATCCGTATAAAGACACAAATACGTCATGTTGCATAATGCCACGGAGCCAAATTTGGCATCCCAAGTTTCCATTACTAGACGAAAAAATTTTCTAATGGGGCCGATTTCCAACTTTGAAGCCGAAGCCCGGCCCCAAAAATTAAGCCACAGAAATGCCATTTTCTCGACAAAATCAGAGATCACAACTTGGTCGGATTTCCAGTGAATCTCGATAATAAATTTCGTACAAACTTCTCCCCTTGCAATTTATATACCCGCATTTTCCCTAAGGCCATGCTGCGAATATTAGCCTCCCATCCTCGGCGGGCCTGACGTCACACAAACTTTTCGCGGAATCAGACGTCATGAACTTTGAAAGTTGCGAGTAAAAATATAAAAATATCAGCTGAGAGCTTAAAGGCGGAGTACGGTAGAGCTGTTTTAGTATATAAGAGTATGTCATGTTGAGTTTTTAGTTATAAGATTGTGAAAATTTAAAAAAACTATATTGTCGATGTTATATAGATCGGTTTCTTGGTTAATTTTACAAAAGAATTATCCACAATTGTGATGTAACAATTTTCTTTAAATTTGGCACATATTTCGGGTATAGGCCACATATCAATGTCTGAAAGTTTTAGCTCGCACTTTGCAGCCACAGTCGAGATATTCCACAATCTTTGTTGTAGAGAGAGTGCGAAAAATGTGGAGAGAGGTCAGAGAAAATAAAGGCTTTTTGGCCATATCTTTGCCAGTTTCGTCCGGAAAGAAACGATTTTTTGTGGAAAGTTTACACTCTACGGTAGAAGTATATTGCGAAACTTAATTATATTATACATGTTTTAGTCATCAAAAATTTTAAAAATGTGGTATGCAAACGGAGAAGCTCTGAATTTCTTCAAATTCTGACTGGTCAGTTTAGGCTATACACACTTTGATTCCTGAAAATCTTAGCTCACAGCTTCGGGGAGAGCCGAGATTTTCAACTATCTACGAGAGAGTATGAGAAATAAGGAGAGCGGACAGAGAGAAGACTTTTTGACCGTAACTTTCCCAGTTTCGTGCGGAAAAAAATGATTTTTTGTGGAAAGATTACACTCTACAGTAGAAATAGCTATGAAACTTTTGATGCCAAAATTCGCAAAAAAGTGTTACGTTTATGGAGACTTTTGGTCTAAAAATCTCGGTTGTTTCTGTAAAGCGCGAGCCAAAAGTCTCGCATCTGTCTTAGAAAAAAATATTCTAAATTTGTCCCGAGTGTCATTAAAATCTAAGTGTTGAACTTGTAGTACTTCGCTTGTCAGCAAATTTTTATATGTGAAATTTATAATGACAAAACTCAAACTTTTTCAATTTGTCATCCTTTTTCCCGCAACACAACTATAACATAATTGTGATCCAAATCCATTGCAGGTGGCTCCGCCAACATCCCAAGATCCTCAACCTGCCATGGAAGGCGAACGTCAAACGTGCCGAGAAGTCGAACGCGATTGATCAGCTGGTCTCCGGGATCTCCGACGACGAAGACAGCTGGAACACCTACTTCAGCGAGCGAGTCGAGCCGTTCAGCCGAGAGGAGCGGCAGAAATGGCTGGCGCAGCTGACTGATGTGGTCGTTTCGTCCGACGCCTTCTTCCCATTCAGAGATAATATTGACTGTGCGAAACATGTAAGGGACTGTCGGAGATTTTGTTTGGTTGATACAGCGATGAACCTAATCCAGTGGCAAAAAACGTAACATTTTGCATCCGGGAAGTATCAAAAAATGTGGCAAAGTGCCTCCATCTCCAAGTGAAAAAACTCCGTTTTGAAGGGCTCCCTCACAAAAAAAGAGGCGTGCTTTTGAAATCGGAGTTTTTTCACTTGGAGAGGGAGGTATTTTGCCACATTTTTGATACTTCCCGGATGCAAAATGGTAAGCATCCCTCTCCAACTAAAAAAACTCCGTTTTGAAAGGGTCCCTCACAAAAAGTTGAAAAAATGTGGCAAAATACCTCCCTGTCCACGTGAAGAAAGTCCGATTTCAAAAGCACACCCCTCTTTTTGTGAGGGACCCTTTCAAAGCGGAGTTTTTTTAGTTGGAGAGGGATGCTTACCATTTTGCATTCGGGAAGTTTCAAAAACGTGGCAAAATACCTCCCTTTCCAACTAAAAAACTCCGTTTTGAATGGCTCCCTCACAAAAAGAGGGGCCTGCTTTTGAATCGGAGTTTCGTCACTTGGACAGGGAGGTATTTTGCCACATTTTTTGACACTTCCTGGATGCAAAATCTTACGTTTTTTGCCACTGGATCAGGCCCGCCACTGTAATGGGTCTCAGCAACTTGTTTTGCTCATAACTTGAGAAGTAATGGATGAAAATTTAGAAAAATTGTATTTTTAGAATCCTGAGAGACTTGTTTGTTAATATGCATGTTTTTTTGGACATTGAAAATACCTTGAGGCCAATTTTCAGACAATTTTCTGATGGCATTTTCTTTAGTGCGGATGCCAAAACTGGCCAATTTCTTTAGCAATTAGTTGAAAATTAATGGCTGAAAATTTAAAAAATCAGTATTTTTCCTGTTCCATGGGACCTTTCTTTTTATTTTTTCACAACGAAAAAGCCCTTAGGCCAATCTTTCAACAATTTTTTTTTATTTTATTAATATTTTTTTCTATTGTGGGCATGCCAAAACTGAGCAACTTTTTTTGCCCATAACTTGCGTATTAATAAAGCAAAATTTTAAAAAATAATAGCCTTAGGACCCCTTGTCATCTTATTTTTCAACATGTAACTTTTTAGGGAAAAAGTCCCTCCGGCAATCTGAAATTTTTGCAAAATTCAAAAATTTTCACCTTGGTCCCCCCTTACCATTTTTTCAAATGAAAAAAATTTTTTATTTTATCTTTTTTTATTTCCAAAATTTTTCAGTTCGGCGTGAAATACGTCGCCAGTCCCGGCGGCTCCACCCGCGACGAAGACATCATCAAGGCCTGCAACGAACACGGAATGGTCCTGATCCACACCGGCCTCCGCCTCTTCCATCATTAATTCGAAATTCGAAAACATCTCTTAGCACTACTTATTACAACATGTCAATTGTATATCGCTTTGCAGAACGTCAAATTTACGCATAAAAGGTTCGGAAATAAAAGTTGAGTTTTTGAGCGAGAAATTGGTTTTTTTTTGAGGGAAAAATTACTTCTTTTTTATTCAAAAAATATCATTTTTTGGATGAAAAATATGATTTTTTGGATGAAAAATATGATTTTTTTGATGAAAAAATTGATTTTTTAGTGTAAATTTTGAATTTTTTGAGGGAAAAATTATTTCTTTTTTATTCGAAAAATATGATTTTTTCGATGAAAAAATTGATTTTTTTGATGAAAAAATTGATTTTTTAGAGGAAATTTTCAATTTTGTGAGGGAAAAATTACTTCTTTTTCATTCGAAAAATATGATTTTTTGGATGAAAAATATGATTTTTTTGATGAAAAAAATTGATTTTTTAGTGTAAATTTTGAATTTTTTGAGGGAAAAATTATTTCTTTTTTATTCGAAAAATATGATTTTTGGATGAAAAATATGATTTTTTTTTGATGAAAAAATTGATTTTTTAGTGGAAATTTTGAATTTTTTGAGGGAATAATTACTTTTTTTTTATTCGAAAAATATGATTTTTTGGATGAAAAATATGATTTTTTTGATGAAAAAATTGATTTTTTAGAGGAAATTTTCAATTTTGTGAGGGAAAAATTACTTCTTTTTCATTCGAAAAATATGATTTTTTGGATGAAAAATATAATTTTTTTGATGAAAAAATTGATTTTTTAGTGGAAATTTTGAATTTTTTGAGAAATTACTTCTTTTTTATTCGAAAAATATATGATTTTTTGGATGAAAAATTGATTTTCTAGTTGATTTATAGAAAAAAATTTGATTTCTGAAATTTTTTCATTTGAAAATTCTATTTTTTGGGGGAAAAAATAAATTACAGTATCTTTATTTAAAAAAAAAAAATATTTTTTGAAATTTCAAACTTTAATTTCCAAGCCCTAGGCATTAATTTCATATCAAGGGAATTTGATGATTAATAACGAGAAGAACGGAGAAGAATTTATTCGATATAACATCGGGGCATAAAAAAGTATTTTTATTTGATTATTTTTTGGGCGATTTGAATGGTTACGCTAGGAGAAACAGCGGACAATATCTCTTTCAGTTTTGCGCGGAAAAATTTGATTTTTTGTGGAGGGGCTACCCTCTACAGGGTGGGCCACTCGAAACGGGTAAGTTGTTTCTTTGGATTTCTCCGCGGGCACTCCGCCGATTTTCCCGAAATTTAGATCTTTCTGAGACCCGCCATTTTTAACCGATTGAATTTCAAAAAAATATATTTTGAATTGACCTTTCTATGTCTTCTCAAAGTTTCGACGAATTATTTATGAGCCGAAACCGCTAAAACTTACAGGGGAAGTACTCCAAGTGCGACGCTCAGATTTTCTTTAAATTTTGCACAGCGGTATGGACTAAATATCAATTCGCAAAAGTTTTAGCACGCGCTTTGCGGGCGCCGTCGAGATATCGAACGATTTTTGTCGCCGAGAGAGCACGCTAAACGTGGAGAGCGGTCAGAGAGAAGAGCGTTTTTTGGCCATAACTTTGGCAGTTTCGTGCGGAAAAATTTGATTTTTTGTAGCAACATTATCCTTTACGGTAGAAAAAGGCATGACAGTTTTCGTGCCGAAATTCGGCAAAAAGTCCTAAATTTTCGCCGACTTTCGATCTAAAAATCTCGGTTGTTTCTGCAAAGCGCGAGCCGGGATTCTCGCATATATTTTCAAAAAAATTAATCTATATTTGTGCCAAGTTTCATCAAAATCTGAGCGTCGCACTTGTACTACTTGCTATCTTGATTTATATCCCCCAAAGCCTGTAAGCCCCTCATGTCCTTGCTCTTTATTATAAACAAACCTCGATAATTCCCCTGGAAATGACCGATGGTCGAAGGCTCGGAAGCGATTGCGAATGCGGAGCGGCCAAAAATACGTGCAAGAGGCGAGAACTTTAAAGCGATTTGTATAAGAAAACGAACAGAGGAAAAGTGCCAACGGAGCTGACTCAGAGCGACGCTCTTGCAGGCAGGGGGGAGTTCAAAGGTTGGGTGGGTAAAAAAACGTGGCTTGAGAGATCTTAAGTAGTCCTTGAAATGTAGTTCTGCAGTTTGTAGGGCATTTATATATTGCACATAGTGAGCTAAAATCTTTCGGAAATGATTTTTGGCTTATAAAAAAAACTTTTCTGTTACTTTTTTCTGTGTTCAAGTCACCTTACAGGGTCAGTTTACAGGGGAAGTACTCCAAGTGCGACGCTCAGATTTTGATGAAACTTGGCACAGATGTAAAATATTTTTTTCTAAAATTTATGCGAAAAGTCCTAGCTTGCACTTTGCAGAAACAACCGAGATTTTTAGATCGAAAGTCGGCCAAAATTTTGGACTTTTTGCCGAATTTCGGCTCGAAAAGTTTCATGCCCATTTCTACCGTAAAGGATAATGTTTCTACAAAAAATCAAAATTTTCCGCACAAAGCTGCCAAAGTTATGGCCAAAAAGCGTTTTTCTCTCTGACCGCTCTCCATGTTTAGCGTGCTCTCTCGGCGGCAAAAGTCGTTCGATATCTCGGCGGCACCCGTAAAGCGCGAGCTAAAACTTTCAGGAATTGATATTTAGTCCATACCCGACGTGTGTGCAAAATTTAAAGAAAATCTGAGCGTCGCACTTGCAGTACTTACCCTGTAAGGTCACTTGAACACAGAAAAAAGTAACAAAACAAGTTTTTTATAAGCCAAAAATCATTTCCGAAAGATTTTAGCTCACTATGTGCAATACAAATGCCCTACAGACTGCCAAACTACATTTCAGGGACTTCAGGCGTCGCACTTGGAGTACTTCCCCTGTTAACCAAATTTTTTTTGTCGTGAAACTCTTTCTTCTTCAAAAAGCATCCTCTTTTCTCGACTCCAACTTATCCCAAATATCCCATTCAATTGTTTTTTCCCCATTTTTCTTCAGTTCAAACCTTCCACTTACAGTGAAACGGGTCTTTTCCAAAAGATCCTTTCGCCGAAAATGTGCCGAGACCCTCGTAATTCGTGCATAATTGAAAAATCCCCGCCGATTTTCGGAGGCGACCGCTCAAAGGCGTTTTGTTTATGACCAGTGGCCACAAATATTGGCCGGCAAAATGGTCGGGGAGAGTTATTGAAGGAGAAGGGAGGGTTTTTAATTTTTGAAAAAAAAATTATTTTTGGATTTTTCAAAATCTGGCACGTCAAAATAAAATGATCGGCGTGTCTGTTGGGAGAATTTGAGACTTTACGGGGAAACGGGGGAGGAAATGGGGGCTTTGAAAATGCAGGAGAGCCATGGAAACACGGGGAGGCGGTTTTATTATGGTGATATATGCATCTGTCTGTCTGGAAAATAATGAACGCTGTGTCAATTGCGTCGCTAAAGTTAAAAATTTTTTTATGTTGTCGCGACACAATTCATTTTTTCTCGACACAAATGCAACTTCCGATGCAACAGAGTGCTCATTATTTTTCCGACAGACTGTCTAACCTTTCTCACAAAAAGCGGCAGATCTTGCCCGACCAGATTGCATTTTTTAAAGGTTTTAAATGCATAGTCTATGCATTTAAAATAGGCCGTGCATTCATCCCTGAAAGTCTCAGCTCACGCCTTGCAGGTCCCGCTGAAATATTCAACAATCTTTGCAGACAAGAGACCATGTGCAATGGGGAGATAGGGTCAAAGAAAAGGCATTTTTTTGCTTGAGACAAAAACTTTTTCGGACATTTTGTTTCACAAGCCTTAAAAAGCTGGATTCGAATGTACTGTTGGACTAGCCCTACCAGAGTTACCACAAATTTTATTTAGCACTTTATGTTTTACTGACAGGGGAAGTGCTCCAAGTGCGACGTTCAGATTTTGATGAAACCTGGCACAAATTTAGAGTAATGTTTTCTAAGATATATGCGAGAATCCTAGCTCGTGCTTTGCAGAAACAACCGAGATTTTTACATCGAAAGTCGGCCAAAATTTAGGACTTTTTGCCGAATTTTAGCACGAAAAGTTTCATGCCTATTCCAACTGTAAAGGATAATGTTTCTACAAAAAATCAAATTTTTCCGCACGAAACTCCCAAAGTTATGGCCAAAAATCGGTTTTCTCTCTGACCGCTCTCCACGTTTAGCGTGCTCTCTCGGCGGCAAAAATCGTTCGATATCTCGGCGGCGCCCGCAAAGCGCGAGCTAAAACTTTCAGGAATTGATATCTAGTCCATACCCGACGTGAGTGGAAAATTTAAAGAAAATCTGAGCGTCGCACTTGGAGTACTTCCTCTGTGAGTTGAGATTTTTTCAGGAGTGAATACACGGCCTCCATAGACTGTATACCCAGTATTTTCCCGACAGACTGATCGTAGAGTCGCTGGGTAATTTTCGTGGTCTGCGATGTGCAGAAACAGTCAGGACAGCCCACAAAAAGCTTATTGCACGGTGCAAGCAAAAAATTGCACAGTGCAAAGCGAAATTTTGTTTTTGCCCAGTGCGTATCGCCGAAATCACGGCAGCGACCTTGCGAACGGACTAGAAACTTTTTGCAACAAAGTACCCCCAATTCTTCTCGAAGGTTCGCTGCGAACCCCCGCAAAAATTTTCTTCCTGACTTTTTGCATTTTGATTTCATTGTTTTCTTGCGAGTCACCGATTTGGCGTAATTACTCGCTGTAAAAAACGACTTTTTGCGGAATCGCTTCACACCTCGCCTCGTCTTTCTTTCAATTTTTCACGTTCTCCACACAATTTCTCGAAGCTTCTTTTCTCTGATTGCCTCCGCAAAGTCACCGGTCCCTCGAGGGTGGGCTTCAGAATCTTTGGGGGGAATCTGAATGTTTTTCGTCGCGTCGCACGTAACCTGGGATCCGGCGGGCGCTGTGACCGGTTTGCTGGTACGATTGAACTGTTTTCCGAATCTGCAATTGAGTGGTG